ACCATTAGGCCGACTACTTGTTACCTTTTCAAAATTGTGTGTTCACAAATCTTTAGCATATTTCAGTAACACATATTACCGAACACACTTCAAGGGGTAACTGAGAGTTGGAATCTGTCCATAGAATGCAGTTTTCGCTTCCTTCTCTCTCCTGTCGTCGTACTATAACAAAATACCATCTCAGTGATTTCCTATACGTCTTCCTACTGCGGTTGCTGCAGGGCATTTCAAACACTTGAATTTTTCAAATTTGAGGTCCCCAACTTAAGTGGAATCTAACCAATCACTCCCCGATAATCCGCTGCATGCTCAGTTCGTCCGTATGTGGATGTTGTACACCAGCTGTTTGGGAGAGGTTTTATACAGTATCATTCTTTTCAATCTTTTATTGAGTCGAGTGGTGCGAACCTCATCATCATCATCATTACACGTTAGCTGGAGGTGGAAAACACCTCAGCTATTGTGCCGCAATACAAAAGCAAGAAAAGAATAACAAACAGTGGCACGCCCGTTGAGTCCTCAGTAACGGATGGACATCGTTCCGGAGAGCTAACAGCTGGCTGCCGTAAAAGAAAGTCATATTATGCCTAACGATTGAGATCGTGATTAGAGGGGGATGCTAAACAGGAGGGGGGTGGGCAAATGAACTCACAACACAAACGCCATTGGGGTCGGCTCCTAGCCATATCAGCAAGTGTGTCCAACCAAACGTGTTCACCATCCTTAGGACCCCAGCCACGCAGTCGGGATGCACCAACCGACGCCAACTTCGAAGTGAGGGTTTTCATTTCTCTCGACCAAGTCATCACTTGGCCTCCCCTCCTTTTCCAACCGCACCCACAACGCGCAAACAATGCACGTCGTCGGAGTCGGTGTGCTGGCATGCGCAACACGTGGCCCAGCGATCGGAGCCTGGTGCGTGATATAATGGTGCTGAGCGGTTCACTCGCTCTTCCTGCACCAAATACGCGACGTCGAACACGCTCATTGCTCACGCGGTGTTCCCACCAGACATGAGCTAAGCTGCGAAGGCAGCGATGATCGAACATGACGAGCCTCTTCATGTCTATCAACCTGATGGGCTAGGTTTCACAGCCATATAGGAGAGTTGAACGGACGGCTGCGTTGTAAACTCTGCCCTTCAGGGCGAGAGTAATGTCGCGTCTGCGCCACAGGTGGTGGAGATTGGCAAAAGCAGCTCGAGCTTTTGCTATACGGTTTGTAACCTCGTCTCCAATCCCACGGGTGCTAATATAGCTGCCCAGGTACTTGAATTCCTGAACGACTTCTAGCAGATCACCACAAAGCGTTAGCGCAGGGTTGGGTCCCTGCCAATCTTGGAGACGTACTTTGCATTTCGATGGAGCAAAGCATAGCCCAAAACGATTGACAGCCAGTGCTAATCGGTCCAATGCTGTTTGGCATGTTTGGGGGCTGTCACAGATTAGGGCAATGTCGTCCGCATACTCCAAGTCAAGAATTCGCTCAACAGGGAGTAGCTCCACACCTTCTAGGTCGTGTCCAGCGAACGCTGTTTCTATGACTTCATCAATAGCGAAGTTGAAGAGGAAAGGTGACAGCGGGCATCCTTGTCTCACACCGCTGGTGATACTGAAGGGTTTCGAGAGTTTGCCATAAACTCTCACCCTGCCCGAACTATGTGCGTACAGCGCTTTGATAATGTTTACATATTTATCAGGCCCACCTTTTTTAAGCAGACAGTCCCAAAGGGCACATCAATCGACTGAGTCGAAGGCACCTTTTACGTCAAGAAACACGACAACGGTGGGTCGCCAATAAACATGGCGGTGCTCCAACACTTGACGTAATGTGAAGATGTGGTCGATGCAGCCCCGACCTCGACGAAATCCGGCTTGCTCTTCACGAATCTGGCTTTCACGAGTGCCAGTCAGTGTGTGGAGAATGAGAGAGGCAAGCAATTTAGAGGCAATCGAAATCACACTGATCACTCTATGATTGCCGCATTCTAAACGGGAGCCTCCCTTAAAAATTGGGACAATGACGGAGCGGTTCCAGTCTGTCGGGACTGTCTCCTGCTCCCAAAGTTTTACTAGCAACTCGTGTAGATCATCTACTAGAGCAGGTCCACCGAATTTGAAGAGGGCTGGAGGAATTCTATCTGCCCCTGCGGCCTTAGGTAATTTCAACAGCCTGATTTCACGTTCGACTTCTGCGCGTCAGGGCGGATCCAAGGTGAAGGGCGTTCAATGCCCGAAGAAGAAAGCGATAACTCAGGTTGGTTAAATTGCATAGCAAAGTGTTCAGCCCAACGCTCCAAGCGTTTTGACAGGCTGTGGATCGGCTGCCCACTCTCGTCGCGTACGGTCTCGTTAACGCCAGGTCTCCTGCTGCCTGTTTCCCGTATCAGATTATATAACTTACGATGATTACCAATGGCAGCGGCTGTTTCCATCTCCAAGGCACGATGAGACCACCAGGTTTCGCGGTCCTTCTTTAGGCTAGCACGTAGTTTTGCCCTGAGATTTTTGCGAGTCTCATTGTATTCGCTTCCAGCCGGCATACGTCGGCGAGCATCCATAAGTTCCAGAGACTGTGTGGAGACCCAATGTCCGGTTTGGCAATTTGCTTTGCCACATGAAGACATGCCTGCTAATAGCAACGCTTGACGAGTATGCGACCAGTGATCTTCAACGGTGTTTAGTGGGCGCTTACTCAGCCCAGATGTCAGCGCACTTTGGTACACATTCGGAACATCTGGCTTCGCCAGCTGGCTGCTGTCAATCCGTTCACATCAACGTCGCGGACGTCCACCGAAACGCACCACGAGGTCGTTCACAAACAAGTGCGTGGTCAGAGTCCACGCTCGTGCTTTAAATCGAGCAACAGTTTTGGACACAGCCTCTCCAGCGGTAACTGATTGCGATATGAACGATTTGCGTCCATGACTGGCCCGAGGCTGGTGGCCGCCAAGTCACACTTCTGCGGGTACTGTGTCGAAAGTTAGTGCTCACGAGAAAGAGGCGAGCATCTTCACACAGCTGTAGCAATCGCTCACCATTGTCACTACGGGAGCCTACACCATGTTGGCCGCCCAAATGAAGCTCATCAGAGGACAATTTTCCGACTTGGGCGTTTAGATCGCCAGCCAACACCACAGTATCCGTGCTTCTTCTGTAACGAAGGAGCTCGTGAAGTTGCTGATAGAAGTCCTCTTTTACCGAATCAGTGCTACAGTTTGTAGGGGCGTAGGCCGCAATGACAAACAGGCACCGTTTGTTTCTGAGTGACTTCGTAGCACGGAACGAACCAGCTAATCTAACGGCGCACATCCTACTGTTTACTGGGATCCAATCGATCAGGGCAGCTTCAGCACGGGAGCTCAAAACAATGCCGACGCCAGCTTGACCGGCATTTGAAGCTGCGTCATCGCCAGATAGGCGCAATGAGAAGGTGCCGCCAGTGTCGCATGTGGGGGATCTCATGGTAAGCACGGAGCTCGAACCTTGCAGGCGGGTTTCTGATAAACAGCAAACATCGATCGATAGGGGTCTCTAGTGTGCGAGCAAGTGCTGCTTGTTGGCCAATCTGCAGCAAAGTGCGCACGTTGAGGCATGCCAGTCTTAGCGAGACACGAGGACTCCAAAGGGAAACGGATGAACTGACGTTGTCCGCTTGGTTGATCATGGACTTGTCGACTGGATTGGAGCGAGGCCCTGCGATTGTGTGGGATTTGAAATTAGAAGACAAGCGACTATTGAAGTAAGCTGGGGGAGGGCCAAGAATTGGGGATTGAAAATGGGGGATATAAGTAAAGTTGGAGCGGGACAATAAGGATGCAGAAGCGCAAGAAGGGGTATAAGAAGACGGGAAGGCCTGAGCAGTAGCATCCAAACCCCTATCCATCCTGTTCGATGCAGCAGATAGGGCGCCGTTTATTATCCTCTGCGACGGCCAGAGCATCAAGAAATTGTTGTAGGAAAGGTTCATTGTATTGCGTGGGCAGAATACTGTCAGGTTGCCCAGGCCTAGACAGGAGAACGATTAGGGTTCTCAACCAAAGCCTTTGGTTCAAAAACCTTGCCGCAAGGCATCAGGTTTTGGCACTGGACTGAGGAGCCCGTTTTATGAACTGAGGAGCCACCCCCATTCCAACCCCCAACCTGGAGGACCAGGAGACTGAGTTTGTCTGGCCTCTAACAATTGACCAATCTGGTATGAGTGGCTCTGAAGGTGCAAAAACAGGACTACCCAGCATAGCTCAATGGATCTCTGAGGCACACAAACCATCGCACCACGGTAAGGTCCAGCCTCATTGCGATGGAGTGGTGCGAACACTAATTCGCACATGCGGACTTGACCACTACGAAGTTTGATCGTCCATCCATCGTTTGCTCGAAGATGGCCTTGCCACTCTTCAACCACTGAGCACAAATGCAGCCTGTGTCGACTCACTGTTAACTCCAGTAATTAGCTCAAGATTTCTATGTAGGACTGTTGATCTTAGACGACGGTAGGCACCAGGCGATAAGATACCGCTTTCCATCTGCCATACACCTGTGTCATTCTTATGACTAGCTAGCTTTTTGCCGAAGTATCTGATGCTTATCGGATTGCAAGCTGTTTTCACCGTTCGCGATATGCCGTATGGCATTTGGGGGTGTATCGCACCTCCGCACCTTCAGGCCACCAATGTGCTGGCGACCAATCCTCGTAAAAATCGAGGACAGACTTGTGTATATGTATGCTTACTCCGTTGTTTCCCGCTTATCGGGTTAACCATCTCATATGACGAACAGTTTCCTCACTTGCCACCTAAATGCAAGGGTTTTTTGGTTTCCTATCTAGGGAATTGTGCAGTATCATTAGGTTCCTTTCAGTTGTAAGTGATTCCATTTTTATCTCTTGGATTTTTTTTAAATTTCTACGCCTCTTCTCTGACCACTACTATCCTGCTGTCTTTATAGGTTGGATTTCTTGACTATGGTGGGTGATGCAATCGCTTCTACTTCATTTCACAGCCCTGCTTTTGTCTGGTATCCGAAGCCGTTACTCCCCACCGGGTAGTGCACCGAGAGTGCCTCCTTCCCTCATTCGGCTGGCCATCTGCAACACTGCCTCTCCTGTGAACCACTTGTCCCTTTTGGATCAAGGTCATGGATTGCTGCAGGTTGATAAGGCTTTCGATTTCCTATCGACTGTAATCACTCTCCAAAAGAACGGAATCAGACCAGACTCACCCGCAGTAGCGGCTTCGCGGCTTGACTACCCTATAGAGTACGTCGCGATTGAACAAGTTATGTTGATTTCTTATGTGCTTTCTCGTTCGCTAGATTCCACCTATCTTGCATTGTACTTCACCTGCAGTATAAACCTCAATACTGTACGTATATTTTAATGGTATATTTCAATAGCTCTCGTAAATGCCGTTATTTGCATTATTTTAGCCTGATTTGATCGTTCAGTTTGCTCACTAGTCTTGCCACACACATATGGCATTTTGTATGGTAGTGGAGAACACGACTGAAGGAGGAGTTCCAACTCCTTCATTTTGCATCGTCTTTTCGTGATTATTCGGCTTTAGGGACGAATAGCCTGCATGCGTTGTTACCCTGGACCCAAACAACTAACTGTCTTTTACTAGTGAGTAGGAATATTCTTGATGGTATTTTGCTGGTTAAACCCAGCCGCTCAAAAGCCAGATTAGTCTGACCTAAAGTCGGAGAAAAACCAGCGGCTCGTCAGTGGAGCACATTTTTTTGATTCCCTGCTGGGGATCAAACCCATGACCGCTAGCAGCTTACGCCAAATAGCCAGCAACATATGCCTCTAACCATGAGGGACGAACGCAGGTGGTCCGAGCTTACAAGCCTCGAAAATACTCATCATTGACGCGCCTCAGCCTTTATAAACTATCGTCTGCTTCTTTTCCAAATGGGGGTTAGACTAATGTGGTCTGTGAGCAGCTGGGATGAACCAGTGAAATTCTCTGCCAGTTTGCACTCCTCGTCAAGCGTGAGTTTATCCCCAATTCGTGCACTTGTTAATTGAGACTGAGCCTAAGATTAGGCGATGATTTGACTGCACTCTTGGCCTACTTGCCCGCTCTGAACCGTCTCCTTTGTTTAATCATCAGCAGCTTGCGCAACTATCTTGTGAATCATGCATATGATGTTACTGTACGCATAATGACGTTTCCTTCAAACCAGTGAGTTTGATGCGTCACGTTGTTTGATATTTTGCATCACAAGTTCAATCGAAATTGCATCTAAGCAGTATAGGTTTTCACCCCTCGGAATATTGTACGCTGTCGCTCTGCGATTTCCGTTTCTATCCATCCGGACTCGATTACAAATGAGTGGGTACGAACTTTCCGATTCAGGCTGTGATTACCCTGTGAGGCACAGGCTTCGATTTTATTCTGCCGAAGTGTCACATTTTTGATACAACAGGACTTTGGTCATCTTTGCATCAGCTCGTTGTGGTCAAAATTTTGTGGCTACTTCTGTCATGTATCCGACCATTGCTAGCATTCTTTGCCATGATCTGTTTAGTGTGCATCAACATTTCTTCATCTTTTGCTATCAGGACGCAATTGAATCTATCCGTCCAATTCGGTTGGCGTCTTCGCTGTTCTGTCAGTGGTCCTGGCTGTACTAAGGATGATCGCGGTATTTGGCTCCGGCGCGGTTGGATCCCAAAAGCACGCGCCAGTCAATCTGGTGGACCCTCGTGGCGAGTCTTACGATACAATCTCCATATCTCTTTGGAATTTGATAGTGTAATTTCGCATTTTGTTTTTATCCTTCCGAATAATTTATCCTCCCTTTAGAGGGAATTTTTGCTTTAACCGTTCAGTATTTGATATTTTCGGCCTCATCATTATCCTCCTATTCGTCCCGTGATACCTTGTGAAAGTACCGTGGCATCCAGTTCATGGTTTTTACATTGCACAACCATCGACCAGATAGTATGCTTCTCACTCATTTGACTGAACCACCCACTCTGCTTACGAATGAAGTGCTATGTAACTGTGATACCTGTCTCACGCGCCATCCATTCTCTAGCTTACAAGGTAACCACTACAAGTGGCAAGTCACTTCATTTGTTCGGTGGCCGTATCATTTCCGGAAAGATTAAGACCATACTATTTCTTAAGGGCCTTGTGGCTTTTCAAAACCACAATCATCCATGGATGCAGTGCACTATCGAATTTTCGACTAAGTCATAGTGTGCTTCTCAGTAGTTACTTCGCAGATCAGAGACATGGCATTTGAAGGCCTTCAGAAACTCCGTTCAGTTCAATTCTTTAAACAGTTATGATTCAGGCACCGAAGGGCAGTGGATTCACTTTTGTATGCAACCATCTATCTTCACTTTCCAAGGGTCCTATCCACGAAGATGGAACGCACCCGCTTGACCAAGTCTCAGGGAATTTTTTCATAACCTTAAGCCACGTCTTCGACTTGTCACTTCGCGGTTTCGCCCAACTAACTGCAGTGACAGCATGCCGAAAAGAGCGGTCAAAGTGCATACGGGGGACATGCCCTGGCGGTTGAGCTTCAACAAACAGTTCAACGTTGCGTCAGAGAGATTCTTACCAAACGCTAACTGGCGGGCCCCTGCTTTTTTCGTCCGGTATTCCCACTAGCTGTGGGCAATACTGCGCAAGCGTATTTTGTCAAAGACGGCCATTCGTTTAATGTTGTCACTGCGAATTATCGGGGTCTCTGTTACGTACGGTAACACTGGTCTTATCGTAGCGTTATACACCCTGCCTTTCCTTGACAGGCTGATATCTTACCGTCTCCAGAGACAGCTGGATATCTTGTGGTGGATTAAAGGTAGATACTACTGCGCCGGGTATAAGTAGTGTGGTGGTGCAAGATGACACACCAACAGCGAGCCCTGCCGACTTCCCCAAAGTTGAAGATGACATCAGGATTACAGTTCCATGTGCACGAGGAGTGAACACAGAGGCAAGCACCAGTTGGGGAACACTCCATGGAAATCACGCAGATGAGCGGACGCCTCCAAAGTATGGACGAACACACCTAGTGTAAGCCACTTTAGCAATAAACAAGTTACCGCCTGCCCCTTGGGTTCTAACATTTGGTGCCGTGACCTCGCAAGTCATGAAGATTCCCTGGCCGGAACCATTTGAAGACGGGGATGTGAAGGCGTTTTTGGAGGATTTCGAGGAGGTGGCAGAGGCGGTAGGACTGAAGACGGACCGGGCGAAGATGGCGGCCCTGCGGAGTCTCCTCAAGGGCAGGGCGAAGGCGGTTCTGGAGGCGGCGCGAAGAGGTCCGGTCAAGTTGGAGTGGACCGCCGCGAAGGAAGCGTTGCTCTCTGGCCTGGACACGCCAGCGGACCGCCAGGAGGCGATGCGACGGTTCAAGGCGTCGCGGCTTGGTGCTGGGACGGATCCCCTCGTGTTTGCGGTGCACCTCAGGAGCTTGTTGGACCGCGCCTTGCCGGGGTTGGATGGGCCGTCAAAGACGCAGTTGCTGGTGGATCAGTTTTTGGCCGGCCTCCCACAGCCAACCGCGGAGCGCGTTCGGATTGCGAATGCTACTCGGAAGATGCAATTGGAGGAGTTGGCGCAAGTTACTCGAGACCTGGGCGACGCACCACTAGCTGCGCTGAAGGAAGAGCCTCATGAGAATGTGGAACGGATGGACAAATTGGAACGGATGATGGAACAGCTTACGGAAGACATCAATGGGCTTCGCGTTCAGCGTTATCGGGTGCGCACAAAGGGATGTTGCTTCATCTGCGGGAAACCGGGGCACTGGAAGAGACAATGTCCGCAGAGGCGTGGTGTTACTCGGGTGTCGAATAAACGTGTGCAACCTTATTTTTCTTTTCGGATCGAGGATTGTGTACTTGGGGCGTTGAGCAGGAGTGCGGTTGAAGCAATGGTGGAAGTAGACGGAACGATGGAAAGGTGTCTGATCGATACGGGTGCCGCGGTGTCACTAATCAATCATCGGCGAGGTGAAAAGCTTCAGTCGTGCTGCACGATCGTAAGAGCGGTTGGCGGTCATTCAGTGGGAATTGATGGGATAGCCGAACACACCGTGGGAATCGGGGGACGAAAGCGAACACACTTCTTTCTCGTGTCACCAGATGCGAAACAAACCATATTGGGAGCAGATTTCCTGGAGCTCAATAAAGCTGTCATTGATCTAAAGCGTGGGAAGTTGCTAATGGAATGCGGGTCACTACCACTCATTAATCGTGGAGAAATGAGATCTTCGCAGTCGGTCGTTGCTGTGTTACATTTGAGCCCATCTTTGCAGTCGCTGATCAACAAATACCAACCCTTGTTTACGGATGACAGCAGCCAATATGGGTTTTGCGATTGGATCGAGCACACCATCCCGCTAACTCGCCAACCGTATCGGCCCCATGGACCTCGAAGGATACCAATCCACCTGGAGGCTGAGGTGAACAGGCAAGTGCAGGAAATGCTGGACGCGGGCGTGATTGAGGAGGCACATAGCCCGTACAACTCTCCTGTGGTCTTAGTGAAGAAGCCGAATGGGAAGTACCGATTCTGTGTCGACTTCCGAAGACTGAATGAAATTTCCTTGACTCGCTTCGTTCCAGTTCCATCAGTTGCTGACATTTTTGATCGGCTGCAGCAGTCGAGGATATTCACGGTCCTGGACTTGAGATCAGGATACTGGCAACTGGCAATAAAACAGGAAGATCGAGAGAAGACGGCGTTTACCGTTGGTGAGAAACAGTACCAGTTTAAGAGGATGCCCTTTGGATTATCAGGAGCCCCGTTTACCTTCCGACGTCTAATGCTGCGATTGCTGAGTGAATTGGAAAACGTGGTTGTGTACGGGGATGATATCGTGGTGTATAGCCAATCAGAAGCGGAACATATCCATCATCTCGCGGCAGTTCTGGAACGCATTCAGCAGTCGGGACTTCGTATAAATGGACCAAAGTCCCAGATCGGAAAGACCTGTGTCACCTTACTGGGCCATAAAGTGGGACAAGGCGAACTGAAACCGCTACCTGAGAAGATAATGACGATACAAGGCAGCCCAGTTCCCACCTCGAAACGCACTCTCCGTACATTCCTGGGCCGCGCCGGGTACTACAGCAAATTCGTCAAGGATTTTAACACCTTGGCCTCACCCTTGTACGAGCTGTTGAAACAAGACAGGAAATTCACTTGGAATGCAGAAGCTCAACGAGCCTTTGATCAGATTCTACAGGAAATGGGAAGGCAGGAGTTGACCCTGAAATTGCCCATTGCTGGTGAGGTGTTCACGGTAGCCACTGACGCCAGCGATGTCGGGATCGGTGCGGTGTTGAAACAAAACCATGGGACGATTGAGTATGCCTGCCGAACTTTGACGCCTGCGGAACGCAGATACTCAACCATAGAGAAAGAATGTCTCGCAATTGTCTGGGCGTTGGATAAATGGCGGCCATATCTCCTGGGTCAGCGATTTCACGTCGAAACAGACCACAGACCGTTGGAGTGGATTAAGTCTGCCAAAGACCCCAGAGGAAAGCTGGCGAGATGGGCATTGCGCCTACAAGAGTATGATTTCACGATAAAACACGTGCCGGGGAGGGAAAATCAGACGGCGGATTTCTTGTCACGCATGATAGATGATGATGACCTGCCGAGCGTAGCTTTCGGTATTAACGGTATACTGTGCGAGCAGGATCCAGAACGGTTGGCAACTGAGCAACGTAGCGACAAACTCCTGCGCAAGTTGATCACCGCGCGATTAGCTGGTCAGACAAACTTCAACAAAAACCAACTTAAGCAGCTGGGACCGTTTGCAAAAGACCTGGGAAAGCTGCAAGTGAACGAAGCAGGGATCTTAATGTGGATACCAGGAGGTAGCAACCCTTCGGTGCCAGTCATTCCAATGAAACGAAGACGGAATCTGGTAGTTTCTTGTCACGAGATGGCGCACACAGGTTGTTCCAGGACCTACGATCTGCTGAAACAACGCGCGTATTGGCCGGGGATGAAAAGGGACGTTGAGAAGTGCGTACTTTCGTGCAGACAATGTCAGCTCATGAAAACGGATTGCCGAGGAATGCAGCAGCAAACGATGACGATCCCGGTCTCGGAAATTGGTGAACTTTGGTCGGTCGACGTGATGGGGCCGTTTCCATTGACCAGGCGTGGCAACCAGTACATTTTATTGATGACGGAGCACTTCACGCGATGGATTGAGGCGACAGGAATCCCGGATCAACGGGCTAGCACCGTTACCCATGCTGTCATGAATCACTTGGTAGCGGCTCACGGAATCCCAAAGGCCATATTAACAGACCAAGGGCCGTGCTTCGAGAGTGAAGAATTCCGGAACTGTTTGGAGAAACTTGGCATCAAGAAATTGCGCACCACCCCATACCACCCGCAAACAAATGGCCTGACGGAACGTAACAATAGAACAATCAAGGAGTGGCTAGCAGCAAAAGGTGGAGACTGGGAGGAAGCGCTGCCGCTACTGTTGCTGGCCCATCGAGCAACCAAACAGGCTTCCACAAAGAAATCACCATTCCATTTGATGTACGGTCGACAACCTCGTCTACCTGTGGACCTAGAGATTGGAATGTGGCCAACTTGCCGTATATCTCCCGAGGAGACACGGAATAACCGGAAGACCGCCAACCGCAACCTACAGGCGACTCAGGCGCGGATGATGGCGAAGTTCCAGACCAGCAAAGGTGGAAGGAATATCGAGTTTCAGATTGGTTCGAAAGTGAAGTACAGGGACCATCAACGCTATC